GGGGCCCTCATGGGCAGAGGAGCAGCCCCCGCAGGACCAGGAACTTGGGAGCTTGTAGCTGAACCCTGTCTCAGCCACACTGCAGGCCAGGCCTCCAACTGTGCCTCAGTTTCCCCTGAGAGGTCTCATCCTGCCCCTGGAGCCACCTGGGTTTTGACTCCAATCATGTCCATGAGGGATGGTAGCTAGCAGAGACACAGCATCCTGGGCATTACCCACTTGCATGGGTTTGGGGAGCCAGGAGGGGGCTCTGCCCCATGCACAGGCCCTGCTGGGACAGGAAGTCTTTTAGGAGAAAGTCCTTTTGCTGAGCAGCCAGTGGGGGGAGGTACTGTTCATGCTGCAGCCTGGCTAATTAGGGTGCTTTCAGTTAGTGCTAATGACTGACAGATGCTGGACGGTCTGACCAGGTTGCTGTACTGCTCTGGTGCTGGGGAACTGGGGAGGTTGAGCCTTCACCCCCCACCTTCCAGCTCCAGGGGTCCCAACTTTCCCGCACCTAGCACAAAGGGGAGATGCTGCTGCATGGATGTGGCTTTGTGCCAGTCTGGCCTGAGACTTGACAAACTTGTTTTGTGCCAGCTGCAGCCCAGCCCAAGTAGTGATGTGGAGATGGGGGTACTGCTGGCAGCATCCCAAGGGCAGAGGGGCTGGTTGGGCAGAGGGCTCAGGGTCTGTGCTGGTGCCCCCCTTCCCTGGGAGGACTGGGGGCAAAGCTCACCGGTGGGGCAGGTCCACAAAGGCTCTTCCAGCTGCCTGGGCAGAGTGGGGGTGAGCCTGCATGTGGGGAGACTTCCCATAGCTTAACCTCCGGGGAGTCTGGGGCATCTGGGGTGGGCAGATGGGGGTAGCAGGCTGGGAGGCCTAATCTGACCTCTTCCTCCTGTTTTGCCCCAGGGGGATCCTGTGGCCAGTGTCACCACAGCCCTGTCAGCCCCATGGCCAAGTCCTGACACTGTGCCCCCTCACACACTGTCCAGCTCACTGCAACACTGGGGCTGGCACTGCCGAGGAACCCCCACAGCACTGGCCCTGTGGCCCAGGTGAGATGGGTGTGGGGGCTGGTGGGCACAAACCAGCCTTGCACGGTGGCCGGGTCCCCACTGTGGTGGTGATGCCAAGCCTGCTGCCCTCTCCCCCTCCCCAGCACTACCTGTGGGTATGGAGCTGAGGGGTGGGCACTGTGGTCAGGGTGCTGTGGGTGCCAGGGGGTGTTGCTTTGCCTGCTTGTCCCCCAAAACACCACTCTGTGTACCTGCCTTTGTGGGAGAGCTTGGGGATCAGCCGCAGGGTCAGCAAGTCCTGCCCATCCCCTGCCAGTGCCGGGAGCTGGGAGGCGCACGACAGGCTAAGCCCGCCCCAGCTCGACCTGCGGAGTGGATTTAGCGGAGGAAAGAGGCTTAGGGAGGGGATTGGGGTTGTGCCGGACACTGTCGGGTTGGGGGGGGCCACATGCCTGTGTCTTTCCTTCCCACGCAGCCACTGCTGCAGACGGGCTCAGGGCAGGGGATGCTCTGTGCTGGGGAGCAGGATCGGTCCACGGGGCCAGGCTCTGACAGCCCAGAAATGGCAGCGAGGGGGAGCCTGGCACCTCGGCCTCCCCGGCCACCCCCGCCACGGGGGTCACCAGCCCTCCATGCTGGCCCCCCGGGACCTCCTGCTTGCCCCATCCGGCCAAGCAAGCAGAATCAGATGTCAGCACCGAGGGAGGCAAAACACCCACCGGTATGGGGGTATGTGGGGCGGCACAATCCAGCGAGGGGCTGGGGACGGTTCCCGGGCAGCTGGGTGGCAGTAGCGTCCCGCGGGCAGGCAGGATGCAGCCGGCAGCCCTGCCTCTGCCAGGAGCGCGGTGCGTTTGTACGCATGGGTATGTGTGTACCTGCGCCATGGCAGCCGGGCTGGGGAGTGTGTCACCACAATTTGGGGCCGCCCTCGGGGCCCCGCCAGGGCTGAACGAGCCAGCCCCGGGGTGCCGGCGCGGCCGCCCTGCTGCTGCCGCAGCCAGTGAGATCACTTCCAGGTGACACGGCTGGCAGGAAGGTGGCAGGCAGGCTGTGACAGTGAGCGGGGTGATGTGACAGAGGTGAGTGGGGGACGCTATCCCTCTCTGGGAGCTTGTTTTGGGGACCTGCCACTTCCTGGGGTCCTTCCTGCCAGATGGTGGGCATGGGAGATGCTGTGGCACCGGTCCCAGGGATGCGGGGCCAAGTGTGGCGTCCCAGAGGGCTGGGGAGCTCCGGTGTCCTCACAGAGGGTAGGGACACCCTGTGGTCAGTGTGAGTGCCGCTGCCCTGGACTGCAGAGGACAGTGGGTCCCATCCAGCGGTTGTCGTTGAGGTGGGACCACCCCCTGGGGTGGGAATTGATAGCAGGTGAGTCAGGGGTGCATGACACGATGCCATTCCTCCCCTTGTAGGAGACCTAATCGTTTTGGTGTCCGTTGAGCCTGGACAGGACCTGATGTGATGTGGGGGTGTGACCCAAATCCATGCCCAGGGCTGTGGGAACAGGGATTGTTCCCACACATCTTGGGGACCCCGCAGCATCACCTTCACTGGGCAGGCTGGTGAGGGTTTCGGGGCAGCACAGGGAGCCGAGTCCGGAGGGAAGGTGGCATAGCACAGAGGGAAGGTGGCATAGCACGTGCATCAGTCACCGTCCCGTGGCGTGCCAGCGCGGTGACGCCGGCAGGCCGTGCGCGGGGGCGGCTCGCTGCTCCCACGCCGCGGGCTCAGCCCGCCTCAGCTCCGCGGCTGAGCTCACCTCCGTGGTATGGCAGGAGAAGTCGCCAAGGGGCTGCCTCCACCCGGCCCCACAGCCAGGGCTGATGCCCACCGGGATTGGGGGTGTTTATTTTTGGGGCGGGAGGGGGAGCAAGGACAGGCTCCTGCCTCTTGCCCTGTCACGGTGACAGCCTGGTGTCACTCCTTTGGCTATGGGGCTCTGTGGGGGAAAGAGTGAGGGGGTCATGGGGGTGATTCTGGGGGTCAGAATGGGTCACCATGGCCCGTGGCATTGGCATGAGGAGCGAGTTGGTCCCTGGGGGCTGTGCTGTGCCCCAAAGGATAGGTAGGTCACAGGGGTCTTTGGGGGGACTGCAGGCCCCCCCCCCCCCGGTTTCAGCCTGCTTGTAGCTCTGGACAGGGGGCAGAGAGAGGGGCTGCGGTCAGGCAGTGTTGGGGTACAGGCCAGTCCCGATGTGCAGGTTGGGGGGTTCCCCATCCGGGTGCCACCTGTCCCTGCTGGGGGCTGTGCCTGGTGCAGCGCCTAGCAGAGGTCTCGGAGACCCCCAGCTCTCTGCGAGGGGGCGGGGGGGAAAGGACTGATCCTGGTGTGCCCTCCGGACCCTCGTCCCAGCAGCACCCACCGGGGCCTGGCTGCTCTCCCAGCCCTGTCGTGCTTGCGCCAACGCTGCCGGTCGCTGCGGAGCAGCCATCTTTCCAGTGCATCCCATCCCCCTCTGCCTGCGCAGGGAAGCGGGAGGGATGCTGGGGATGCTGCCAGTCCCAGAGCCCCCCCATCCCTCTGCAGGTGCCTCCCTACCCATCCTGTCTGCCACAGAACCTCGGCTGCTGGACGATGGTCCCCCCTCGTCCTCCTCCTCCGCCCGGCTGCCTGGTGCACCGTGCCAGGCTGCGGGGAGAAGGGGGCTGCGATCGCGGCGCTGGGGCTGGCGGCGATGCCACCACCTCTCCACTCAGGAGCCGGAGCAGGGACAGAAGGTGGGCAGTTGGGCTGCCGAGCCGGGAGGAAGACAGTGGTGCCAGGCTGGGATCGGGGTGAGGACGGGCGGTCAAGGGGCTCCCCCTGCTTCTCTTTTCCCCGTCTCCTCCGCATCCCTCCATCCATCCCCCCTCCCCTCCATCACCGTTGCGGTCACCTTCACCCTCTCGCTGTTTTCCGGAACTGCAGCAACTTTCTGCCATGTGATCCCAAGCCCGGCTCCAGCCCTCGCCGCCCCCAGGCAGACGCGGGCGTCTCCGCAGAGCCCCCCACTCGCCGCTGCGCCGCAGCCGCTGCCTCAGCCATGGGCGAGAGATGCGACTACCAGCGCTTGAGCAGCGCCGAGGAGGAGGAGGAGATGCTCGGCCCCCTGCCCCACAGCTTCTCGGACAGCACCGGGCAGCGGGTCCTGCGCCTGGGCAGCAGGCGCCCCACGCCACCCCCCCCGGCAGGACATCGCCCCGGCCATGCCGTGCCGGCGGGTCAGTGGGGGGGGAGCCGGTGGACGGGAGCAGCGCGGGGCACGTGGCTGTTCCCCAGGACGGGCAGGGTCCTGCTGTAGCATGGGGCACGGGGGGTCCCTGCATGGCATCTCCCCTCTCGAATGCGCAGTACCCCGCAGCGTCCAAGGCAGTGTGAGGATGGCACCTCCCCCCTTCTCGGCTGTGCTCCCATCCTGACCCAGGGGAGCGGGGCTGCCTGCTGCTTCTTGCTGGGGAAACTGAGGCATGGGGGGAACGATGTGCGGCAGCGCGGCTCGGCCGAGCCTGGCACAGCTCGTGGCGGGGTGGGGGGCAGCACAGGATGCCACCCCCCAGCCGCAGCGCTGCATCCAGACGGTGGCCGCGCCGGCTGCCATCCCCATATGGGGGTGTCCCTGTGGGGATGTCGGGCTGTGCATGGCTGTGGGGAATGCGAAGGTGCAGGTGCCTTGGTGTGTGGGACAGGTGTTGGGGTGTCGTTATGGGTAGGAGTAATTGGTGCAGGCCCGGGGTGGGGGGTGGGAGGATCGAGCACCCTTGTGCCAGCTCGGACAGGTTGTGTGTGATGCCAGGCAAGCGCGGAGGCGAGGAACGCGGCACAGCGGGGGTGGGCAGCCGTGGGTGCGCGGGGGGCAGGCGGCTCCAGGTGTGTGCGGGGCGGAGGCGGGGAGCAGGCCCGGTGATGCCGCGGGCTGTGCGGGTGTGTGCGCACGTGCGGCCGGGCAGGGCGGCGGTAGCTGGGGGGTGCGCGCGGAGGTGACGTGCGTGGGGGGCGGCTGCGGTTGTGCAGGTGGCGGGAGGCACCGCGGGGTGCGGGGGGTTGCGCCTGTGTGGTCCCTGGGTGCATGTGAGCGTCCTCACCGCCCGTGCATGAGACTGGGTGCACGTAGGGTGCATCCCCTGGCGCTGCAGGGCTGGGTGTGTGCGGCATGGCGGGTGTGTGCAGGGGCACCAAGGGCCGAGCAGCACCTGTGCCGGGGACCTGGTGGGGGCTGGATGGGTGTCTGTGGCTCCCACACCTCAGGATGGGAGTTTGCTGGCAGGACTCCTTGCCCGACTCAGAGCCGAGGTTGCAGGATCAACCCAACCACTGTGCCTGTGGGTCTATTGCAGAGAGGGAAACTGAGGCACAGAACCACCCCGGCATGGTGGGTAAGGCTGGGTTCCCCCATTCCCAGTGTGGATGCTGAACTGGACAGTCTTACCTGGGATTGGGAGGTGCAGGAGGCATCACACTGGGTGCCAGTCCCAGTGGGTGTCATTGCTGCCTGATGAGAGTGATGCTCCGTTCAAGGCAGGGCACCCCCCGCCCCCGTGTCCCCTGAGCTGGGAAGGGGGAAGCTGGCGCGTGGCAGAGGTTGGTGCTGAGGGCACTGTGCCCGGTTGTCCCTGGTCAATGGGCTTGTTGTGCCCGGTGCCTGTGCTGCCGGGTGCCAGCTGGGATCCCAGTGTCAGTGGAAGCCACAGTGGAGACTCCTCTTCTCCTGGGGATGCACTTAACTCCTTCTTAGCTGCTTGCCTGGCACAGCAATGGCCACATTTGGGGGGGCCAGGCAGGCGGGGGTTGTGGTAAGAGGTTTCTGTGGGTCTTTCCTTTCTCATGCCGTGGCTGCCAGCACGGCCAGCTGTTCTCCCTGGGGAGCCCACGGGCGGACAGCACTGCTGGGGTGCCAGCCCCACTGGGGAAGGGGAGCGAGGTGCAGAGTGCTGGTGGCACCCCACGGCAGAGCCCCCGTGGGGCCTGGCAGCTGGGCAGCGGATATGTTTGCCGAGCCAGAAACTCCCCCCGCAGTGCCCATCGCCCTGGCATCATGCCTGTGGCCTCGGTTGGGGAGCAGAGAGCCGGATGTCTCCTCTGCCTCCCTCCCTCCCTGCTTCCTGGGGGGGAAACTGAGGCCTGGGAGCGTTTCCGAAGGCCGGGGCGAGTTTCCATGGTAATGGGAGCGGGGGTCCAGGCTCCCAGCTGCCGGCGACCGCCGAACAAGGGAGAAAGCGGCACATTGATGGGAGCCCGGCCCCTTGGGCGCGCGTCCCAGCCCGGCTGAAAATAACCCTCCTGGGGAGCGCTGCGGGCAGCCGGCCGGGACCGAGCCCCGCTGCCAGCGGGGGGTCCCCAGGAAGCGGCTCCGGCCGGGGGAGTGACCCCCAGCCCTGCCTGCCGCCACCCCCCCGCCCCGGCCCCGTTGCGTTGGGGAAGGGGAGGGCCGGCCGGCCAGAGGATCGAGATCCGGATGGAAGGAGGGGCAGAGCCACAGCCCGCGTCCGGCCGACGGACAGCCCGAGCCCCCTGCCCGCTCCGGGGGGATATATGGGACGGCCGAGCCCAGGGGGCTTCTCTGTAGCCCGGGTGAAGGGACTGCGGGTGCCCCGGCTGCAGTGAGCGGGCTCCGCCGTGGGACGCCGGCACCGGGGAAGGGACATCAGCGGTGCCAGGGGCCGGCGGCGGGCAGCCAGGCAGGATGCGGCGCTTCCAGGCTTTGCACCGATCTTTCCCTTTCCTCACCCGCTTCCGCCTTTACCGAGTAAGTGCCGACCCTCACCCCGGGCAGACCCGTCACCCGGCCCTGTCCCCATCGCCTGCGGGCAGGGGAGCTGGCAGCTCCCTTGGCCCTGTGTGTCCCCGCCTGCCCCCATGTGCCCCCGTACCCAGCTGCTCGCCGCGCCCGCCGTATTTTTAGCCCAGTGCCGAGGGTTGTAATTGCGGTGACGCGGCCGAGGGAACCGAGCGCAGCGGGTGAAGACGCCAGGAGCCATGTCATCCATCTCCCGGGGAAGAGGAGAGGATGGAGGGGGCTGACGTGTTGTGGAGCCAGGACGGCGGGTCCCAACTTCCCTCCCGCTCTAAACAGTGGGAGACAGAGCTGTGTCCCTTTCCAAAAAGGTGGCGATGAAAGTGGGGGAGAGCTGGGACAGCAGGCACGGATGGGAAGTGGTGGAGGGCATGGAGAATTGTGTGTGAGACCTGTCCCTGTCCCTCCCTCCCTGTGTCCCAGCACAGCTAGGGGGGTAATGCCAGCAGCGCTGGGGTGCCCTGTACCTCAGTCCTGGGGCAACAGGACCCCCCAGTGACCCTGATGTCCCTGTCTGCCCCCTCCCTGTGTCTGCCCAGCGAGGTGCCACCACCCAAGGCAGCCTGGCCAGGTGGCTGGGACAGCTGTCCCCTCCAGCTGAGCAGAGGGATCCAGGCAGGCACATGCATCCTGAAGCTCTGACCCTTCCAGGGGATAGCCTGTGCTGGAGCAGAGGGGTGGGCTGGTGTTTCTGTGGGCATGACAGGGCAGAGCCAGTCTGTCCTGCCTGTCCCTGCATGTCCTGCTGATGCGGTGCCTCTCCCGGCCTCCCCCAGAGAGCTGGGGACAGGCTCAGGAGATGAGCCCACTAGTGTCCCTCACAGCAGCACCCCAGCCGTGGTTCTGAGCCCCTCTGGGTGACTCCCCAGCGGGGACGGGGCAGAGAGGAGCGGAGCACAGTTCCCCCTAACCTGGCATTGTGTCCCGGCAGAGGCTGAGCTGTAGCATGCAGGCGGAGGAGGGCACGGACTGGCTGCTGGAGCTGCTCACTGAGCTTCAGCTGCAGCAGTACTTCCTGCGCATCCGGGACGAGCTCAATGTCACACGCCTCTCCCACTTCGAGTACGTCAAAAATGAGGATCTGGAGAAGATCGGCATGGGACGCCCTGGTGTGTACACCCCCCCAGACCTTCTCCTTATCCCCAGCTGGATGCACAGCATCTTTTGGGAAGCCCAGTGGAGCATGTGGTCCATGGGGCTAAAGAGGACCTCTACCCTGGACTGGGTTGTGACAGTCACTGTGTCCCTGAATCCTGTAGGCCAGCGGCGGCTGTGGGAAGCAGTGAAGCGGAGGAAAGCCATGTGCAAGCGGAAATCCTGGATGAGCAAGGTAGGGATGAGAGGGACAGGTGTGACAGAGAAACTGAGGCAGATGGGAGAAGCTAGACCTCCCCTCGTACTCTTCCCAGGTGCCTGGCTCTGCCCATGCCACTGGTCCCTGGGGGAGTCCTGCCTGCAGTGTGATGCTGCCAGTGTGTGCCCTGGTCCCATGCAGGCTCCTGGGTCACTTCCCAGGAAAGGACAGCCCTGCCGCCCCAGTACTTGGAAAATTCATTCCCTTCATTGCCAGGAAAATTGTTTGCAGCCAGCGAACCACAGAGCCTGTGCATCTTGCTTCAGCCAGCTCTGTGGGCAGCAGCACTGCCCAGGACTCTGCCTGCCCTGCTGCCTCACAGTGAGGAGGCACAGCCTTGTACCTGCAGGCTGGGGCATACCAGGACAGGGGACCTTGGAATGGTCACATATTCCATATGCCATCCCATCCAAAGCTGGTGCTGCTGGCACCCCCAGAAGAGCAGAGCACTTACGAGCTGGGCACTGGGTCGTGGCCTCTCCCCTGTGTGACTCATCTGTGCTGGGACATGGTCAGGATGGGCTTTTAATAGAAGGCTACTCCTATTAAAGAAGAAATGGCAGGAATGCCACCTCCCACCCCAACCACATGTTGGGCCCAGCCCCCACGCACCCTGCAGGGGTCCTGGCTGCTGTGACTGGGATGGACCCTGTCCAGTGGGGCACATCATCAGTCCCAGCTGAGGGAGAGGGAAGGAGAGCCCATCCCTTCTGGGTGGTGGTGGTGGCAGGCGGTATGAATGCAAATCCCATGTCTTTGCAGGGATGTGTCACCACACTCAGCCCAAGCTGGAGGTTTCCCTTGGCTTTGTGCCCAGGCACATTGTGTGGCCATAGCCTGGCCAAGGAGTGCCCAGGGCCCTCTCTGGCTACTGGCCTGTTTTAGTGTGGCTGCTGGGGAGCCGCTGCAGGGCTGCTGTGAGAGGCACAACCCCTTCCCTCCACAAGAATTGCAGCCCAGTGTGCAGGCTGCTGGAGGAACAGAGCTTGATCCCACAACCAGACTGCCCTGGGTCATCACCAGTTAGGGGTCATCAGTGGGTTTTAGAGTGTACAACCCAGACAAAGGGTTGTCCCAGCACTACTCACTTGCAGACCCAAAGGTTTCGGATATCTTTACATCTGTGTCTTACCTGCCTCCATGTCCCACAGGTGTTCAGCGGGAAGCGCCCAGAGTCGGAGCTGCCACCCCAGCCCCAGAGTACTTTCCGCAAGCCCCCCACACCACCACCCCCCGAAGCTGGGGGCCAACACTCCCTCACCTGCCTTGTGCGGGAGCGGGACCTCTCGATCTTTGAGAAGCTGGGCGACGGCTCCTTCGGCGTCGTGCGTCGTGGAGAGTGGTGCACACCTGCCGGCAAGACGGTGAGAGACTGCTCATGAGGGGGGTGGAGAGCTGGGCAGTGGGACTACCTACAGGGGAAGACACTTCAGGGCTCACTCCTGCTTTGGCCGTAGCTGAATGTGGCAGTGAAGTGCCTCAAGACAGATGTGCTGAGCCAGCCAGAGGCACTGGATGACTTCATCCGGGAGGTGAATGCCATGCACTCCCTGGACCACAGGAACCTCATCCGCCTGTATGGTGTGGTGCTCTCCCACCCCATGAAGATGGTGAGTGTGAGGGGACAGGGCCAACGCTGATGCCACCCCATGTGGGTCCCACATGATGGCATGAGCAAAGCCAGGCTGCGTCTGTACCCCAAGTCCTCTGCTGGCATCCCCAGTGGGGTACAAGGAGGCTGGAAGCCAGCCCAGCCAGGGTGCCCCTGGACTGATTGGTTTGCTGTCCTCTCCCTATGGCCCAGGTGACAGAGCTGGCCCCGCTGGGCTCACTCCTGGACCGACTGCGGAAGAACCAGGGCCATTTCCTCATCTCCACTCTCTGCCAGTATGCCATCCAGGTGGCCAAGGGCATGGCCTACCTGGAGTCCAAGCGTTTCATCCACCGTGACCTGGCCGCCCGCAACATCCTGCTGGCCTCCAATGACCTCGTCAAGATCGGGGACTTTGGGCTGATGCGGGCCCTGCCAAAAAATGATGACCACTATGTGATGCAGGAGCACCGCAAGGTCCCCTTCGCCTGGTGAGCCTTGAGGAGGGGGAGACTTGGGGGTGCAGCACCCACGACCTGATGTTCACGTCCTTCCCCATGTAGGTGTGCTCCTGAAAGCCTGAAGACACGCACCTTCTCCCATGCCAGCGACACCTGGATGTTCGGAGTGACCCTCTGGGAGATGTTCACTTATGGTCAGGAGCCTTGGATAGGCCTCAACGGCAGCCAGGTTGGTGTTCAGCAGGGACCTGCCCCCTCGCCTCACCCCGCTGGTGCTGAGGGGGACCTGGGAGTCCCTGACAGCACCCCTTGCCCCACAGATCCTGCACAAGATAGACAAGGAGGGTGAGCGGCTGCCACGGCCTGAGGACTGTCCCCAGGACATCTACAACGTCATGCTGCAGTGCTGGGCGCACAAGCCCGAGGACCGACCCACCTTTGTGGCCCTGCGGGACTTCTTGGTGGAGGTGGGTGAGCAGGGAGGGGGACAGGAGCCCTGGCACCCCGTCCACTGGCTCTGCTCGAGCATGAGTAGAGTTAAGGATATCGCTGAGGTGGGAGTTGACATGGGGGAGCTCAGGCCAGGCAGAAGTGGCAGGTAGTGACATGGTCACAGCAGGAGAAACCTGGGTGCTACCTTGCCCTGACCCACCCCAGGGATGTGACAGCTGAGGACAGGCTAGTGGTGATTCATTTTTGGGGCCCTGTGTCCTGCCTCTAAACAGGGCAGGGATGGACATGGGGGGCTGCATCCCCTATCCTTACCCACCTCTACCCCCAGGCCCAGCCCACTGACATGAGGGCACTGCAGGACTTTGAGGAGCCTGACAAGCTGCACATCCAGATGAACGACATCATCACAGTCATCGAGGGCAGGTACTGCACGGGAGGGTGGCAGGTATTGCAGGGAGAGAACACACTGGCAGCCGGCCTTGGTGGGCACAGGGCACCCCAGGAGTGGGGAGACTGTGGGCACTGGCAATGCTGTGGGGAACAGGGATGGGAAGGGCTGACTGTCCTGCTGGCACAACTGGTCGTGTACTCCATGGGCAGGCAGAGCTGGGAGGTCTGTGGTCCCCCAGGCAGCACAGCACCGTGGGGGCACAGCCCTGCCCACAGTGCCCGCAGCCCTGCCTGCACCGTCCCCGCTGACTCACCGCACTGTGCCCATGGCTTTGCCCTGGGAAACCGCACGCCCCAGGGCCGCTCCCTGCTGATAGCGGTGGAGACATGCTGCCAGCACCTGGAGACTTGCCGCTGTCATCGGGCTGGGAGAAGCACCGTGGGCTTGGTACCATGCTGGCAGCACCCACTGTGCTGTGGGCTTCGCTCCTTGGGCCCTGCTGACCACGCCGGGGCACAGCCACCCACTCCACTGCCCCGGGGACCTGCGGACTGGAGTGGGGGGCCTTCCGGCCCCGCATCCCCATTCCAGGATGTGCCCGTCCCCTTCCAGCTGGAGGGCAGTGGGGATCCCCCAAAGGAGCGCAGTGTCCCCACGCTGACGCCGGCCCCACAGCCCCGAGGGGAGGAGGAGGAGGGCTCTGTCCCCGTCCCTCCCTGTCCCCCGCCCCGGGACGGCTCCCCGCGGTTAGTCACGGCTCGGGGTGAATCAGGCCGGGTTTGTGTGTCTGCAGGGACCGGCTGCTCCCGGTCCGCCGCCGCGGGGATGACTCTTGCCCAGGGTCTGGCGGTTTAATTGCAGGGAGGGGAGGGGAGGGGAAGCGGCGTCGGCGGAGGGAGGAAAGGAGGGAGGGAAGGAGCGGCGGAGGGCGGTGCGGCCGCGCCAGAGCGCCTACATCGTCCCCGCTGCCGCATCGCGGCCGGGCTGCGGGTCCCGAGCCCCCCACCCCGCCGCCGGCCCCAGGTGAGCCGCGAAGGGGGTGATGGAGCGGAGAGGGGGCTGGGGGTTGCCCGTGGGTCGGGGGGTGCCAGGAGTGCGGCAGAGCCGGGGCGCAGCGTCCCCTGCCTCAGTTTCCCCGGGGGAGGCCAGTACTCGGTGACCCCCGGTGGGCAGGTTTTGGGGTGCGGGGTGAGGTCAGCCGGGGGGTGGCAGGAGCCCCAGCGGCTGCCCCTGCTCTCGGAGGGGAGCCCCCTCCCCGTGCCTCAGTTTCCCCCGCGGGGGCTGCCCCCCCACCGTGCTGCCGGCAGGGATGCCCGGGCAGGGCTGGGGTGGGGGGGCTCCTCCCGGGGGCCGCATCCGGCCCCGCCGAGGCCGCCCGGGGCACCGTAAACACCCCCCACCTCTTTTCAAGCCCCTGCCTGTCGTTCGGCGGGCGCCGGGTGTGCGTACGTGTGTGTGGGCAGGGGCAGGGACCTCCCTGAAAGCCCCCCGGGGACCCAGCCGGCCGCGGGAGGGGGCTGTCGCGGGGAGAGGAGCCAGGGCAGCGCCGGAGCGGGTTTGTGCCTGGGGTCCGAGCTCGAGTTCGGTGGGACGAAGCTGAAAGCAGGGGGAGCGGAGGGTTGACCCGGCTGCAGCATCCCTTCGGCGGGATGCGGCGGTGAGGGGTGCAGGGAGGGCGAGTGGAGGGGACCTCCCGGGGAGGGGAGCCGTTCCTCCACCTCCCCCGGCCAGCTGCGGGTGAGGGAGGGTGCCCGGTACCGGCTGGGCTCTGCCGTGGCTCTGCCGAGGGGTCCTAACGCTGAGTAAGGCGGCTGACTGGCGGCACCGGGAAGGTAAACAGGAAAAGGGCTGAGCTGGTGGCCGGGGGTGACTCACAGGTGACTCCAGGAAACTGTGGGGCCCGTGCCAGCCTCTCCAGGCTGGCACCCACACTGACACTGCCCCCAGCCCGCAGCATGCCCTGCCCACGGGGAGAGGGGGCCCCTGGCAGGCATGGGGGTGGTTTAGGGTTGGACCCCTCCCACATTAATTTGGCACAGTGCTGGGTGGGGGACACCAGTTGAGGTGCCTTTCCTTGCCCCATCCCTGTGCTCCCCAGTCTCTCTGGGCTACTTGACCACTTTGTCCCACCCAGAGGTGGCTGTGTCCTGGAGCAGGAGACTCCTGGAGGACACACTGGGGACCAGCACCCCAGGGTGATCTGACCCACTCAGGTGGCTCCAGGAAGATTCACAGCCTGAGCCCCCACCTGTCTGTCTGTCCATCTCCCACTGCCCACAGCAGGGCTCACTAATAATGTAGGAAGGGAGTGAGGAAGACCCCACAGCCCACTGTCCCCCATGTGGGCCCCATCAGACCCCAGGCGTGTCCCGTGTGCCATCCTTGTCTGCCTGGGGCACAGTGATGAGCAGCTTGGTGCGGGCATCACTCCAAGGCTCCTGCACAATTTGAGGCAGCAGGGAGGAGGAAGGAGCACATCTTTTTGAGCACAAGTGTGGAGCTTTGTTCCCCACCACCTGCGTTCCCAGCACCACCAGGTGCAGGGACCATGTGGGGTGGGATTCAGAGCATAGTGCCAGTGTAGGGTTGGGATGCTGGGCACCCAGGTTCCCTTCCCGGTTGTGTCACCGCGTGCCTGCGTGGACTTGGACGAGTCACCTTGCCTCTTCCCTGTCACTGGGGCAGGCACATGTCACCCTCCCATCCCCTCATCAGTAACAAGGTCCTTTTTATTCCTTAGGGCCGAGAATTACTGGTGGCGGGGTCAGAATAAACGGACCCTAAAAGTGGGCCAATTTCCCCGAAACACGGTGACCTCGGTGGCAGGGCTGTCAGCCCACGACATCAGCCAGCCGCTTAAAAACAGCTTCATCCACACAGGCCATGGAGACACCAACCCGCAGCACTGCTGGGGGTTTCCCGATAAAATTGATGAGTAAGAAACTTTTCGTCTTCTCTGCATCCTCTGCCTGCTCCCTGCCTTCCCTGCTGCCCACTGGGCATGGGAGCAAGCCGCGGCTTGGCTACTGCCCCCCTCTTTCCCCGTGAAGCATTTTGTTCCCCACTGCTGTATTGGGAATGGTGGCTCTGGGTAGGGTCCCTGCAGCTGGACTAACTCCTTTGCCTCTTCTTACTAATGGGGTTAGGGAGGTGGGGGGCTGCTGTGCTTATGGGGGGCTGTCCTTGGGTGGAGACCCATGTAAGCACCACCGTGGAGGTGGCCACATTACCCCAATGTTTTTGGGTGTCCCAGGGCTGATGGATGTGCGTGGCTTGCAGCCTGTCCTCACGCTTCTAACAGCATGAGTCTTTTTGAAATGCAAAATGTGAAAAAAATCCACCAAAATGATTTTTTTCCCCACCCTGCTCCATCAGGAGACACCCTGGCTGAACTGTGATGGGGGGAGGGGGATTGGGTGCTTGTGATCCAGTGTCCCACATGCCCCCCTGCCAGGTGGGACTTGTGCCCAGCGTGGGTGCTGGGTGAGCAGGAGCATCTTGGCAGGGGGCATGGGGGGTTCTCTGCCAACACTGGGCTGGAGGGACGTGGGAGGGCTGTGTGTGGGGGGCAGGATAGGATTTCAAAGCCTGGAAAGCTCCCGCTGGGTAGGGCCAGCTCCTGCACCAGGCTCGCTCCATCTCCTGGAATCATGATCCCCACTGCTGTTTGGCATCCCAGGCCTGGGACAGCTCTGCAGGTGCCCTGGGTTCCAGCCTGACCCCTCCACGGCACCCTGGTGTCCCGGGCTGTGCCGGCGGCCCTCAGAGGGCTGAACGGAGGCACCGTGCACGCGGATCTGGCTCGTGCCCCGGCAGGCCTCCCCGCACCCCGCTGCGTGGGCACGGGCGCTGGGTACGTGCTGCCCGGGCTGCCGAGAACGCACCGAGCTCGGCACACACCCAAACCTTCGGGCTGCACCAGCTCCCGCCGGCTCCCTGGCTTGCGATGGCTCGCCCGGGCCTCCCGGCACCCCCCTGGCAGTACCGGGGCGCTGTGCCTTGGGCGCAGCATCGCACCACAGCGCCCTGCTGCTGGAGGGGTGTCCCGGGCACCACACCCCACACACATACCCTGGACACAGAGCCCTGCTTGCAGTCCCCTGGACACAGCACATCATGCACACGGAGACGGAGAGGGGTGGGTGACACAGGGACAGCACCAGGCTCTGTGCCGTAGCGGCAAAAGCCTCGGGTGTGGTGTCCCAGCATTCACAGGGACGGTTCTCGCTGGGGCATAGTGTGTGGTGGAGGAGCTGTGGGGTGTCCCAAGGCACAAGCCTGGGGAGCGAGGGGTCCTGCATGGCCCCTGCTGACTTCCAGGTACTTTCCTCTCTCCCCACAGGCTGTACCTGGGAAATCCCATGGACCCTCCTGACATATTAGGTATGGACCCGAGCGCTGCCAGACCCACACAGCTTCCAGGCAGGACTAAAAGTGAGCGTCTTTTTTTCTTCCTCCTGCCCATCAGCTGCACGAAGCCCTTTTCCCCATGCCCTGTTGGCCAGGGTGATGGGCTGGACCCTCTCCTTTCTGTCTGTCAGCTGGCACTTGCTTTTTGCAGACCCGGGGGGAGCTGGGGTGATGGGGCGTGTTGTCACCTGGCCATACGCCACTGCCAACAGCGTGGGCGGCTGGTGGCTCTGCCCGGCTGGACTCTGCCCTGCTGCCCTTCGTCCGAGTCCCTTGTCCCCTCCCAGCCTCCCACGGCTGGTCTCCCCAGTACGGGGATCTCAGCGGAGCTGCCACAGGGAGGGAGCTCAGGCACTGTGCGTATGCCACAATTCCCCTAAACTTACAACCTTTCCCTTGTGGGGTGGCTTCCCACCAGCATCCTCTCTACGCCCCACCGGTGATGGGGGACTGACCAAAGCATGCACCCTGCTAACAAGCACCTTGGCTGCCGCTTGCTCCACACGCTCACCCCACGCCTCTCCTTCTCTTGGGTTCTCTCTTCTCCTGCAGGGCAGCCACCTCCACGCCCGCCTCAGCCTACCGTCCTGCTAACCAGTAAGTTTGGCTTCTTTGGGTGCTGCTCTCCCTCTGTCATGCCCCTCTTCTTGTCTCTCTTTATCTGGGTGACCTGGGGCATATGCCCCCTGCCCTGGTGTGTCTGCTGCACCCAAGGGGTGAGCAAAGGTGGCTGAAGCTATGGGACAGTTTGGGGGTTTGGAGATGCAGATGTCCCTTCTTGCACCCCAGGGATGGGTGCTGGGACCCTCACCATCTTTCTCTGTCGCCTCCTAGAACCTTGCTATGACCCGGTGAGTGAGGAGGAAGAGGGTCTGCCAGGGGGTTTCCGGAAGCTCTGCCTGAAGAAGCCAGGCACAGGGAAGGGTCTGCGACCAGTCAAGCCGTCAGCACGGGTACCAGGCACCAAGGTGGGCGAGCGGCAACCCGGACGGCTGGCAAGTGAGGGGCCAGCGGGCGGCGAGGTGACACTCATCGACTTTGGGGAGGAAGTGCCCCAAGGTACCCCCTCTCCAGTGGGGGAGCTGACAGCCCCATCATTAGCCAAGCTGGCCATGGAGGCTTTCTCTTTGCTGGACAAGACCCCACCGCAGAGCCCCACGCGGGCTCTACCCCGGCCTCTTCACCCCACGCCAGTGGTGGACTGGGATGCTCGCCCTTTGCCCCCACCGCCTGCCTATGATGACGTGGCACAGGATGAGGACGACTTTGAGGTCTGTTCCATCACCAGCCCTCCGAGCCGGCGGGGCAAGACCAACTATGGCTTCGTGGATGAGGGTGAGCGGGGACCGGTGCTGGAGGACAACCTCTTCCTGCCCCCCAAGGAGACCAAACAGCCCAGCATGACACAGACCACCGAGCTCTTTGAGGAGCTGCAGCAGGAGTGCATGAAGAGGCTCAACGTCCCCTTGGGACCGGCTGCCCCTGCTGATGACAAGCCCCAAATCCCACCCCGTGTTCCAATCCCACCCCGGCCCCTTCGCCGCAATGAGCCCGGGCGCTGGTCAGGGGACCTTTCCCCAGCCTCAGGGGGTGAGGAAGACCGGCCACCCCAGATTCCCCCCCGGGACCCGCTGTCGCAGCCCACCTCCCGGACACCCAGCCCCATGGCTCTGCAGGTGGGCTCCCCACAGCAACGTGCTGCCCTCTGCTCCTGCCTTTCCACCTCACCAGGGAAGCCCATGCCTACCACGCAGAGCTTTGCCCTCGACCCCAAGTACGCCACCCCCAAGGTCATTCAGGCACAGGGCAAGGACTGCTCCAAGGGACCCTGCATCCTGCCCATTGTGAAGGATGGGCAGAAGGTCAGCAGCACCCACTACTACCTGCTGCCTGAGCGCCCTGCCTACCTGGACAAGTATGAGAAGTTTTTCAAGGAGGCTAAAAGCCCAGAGGAGGTACCAGCATCCCGCCAGGTCACCACAGCCACTGTCCGTCCCATGGTGCAGCAGCCACTGCCAGACTGCAAGGCCAACTTTTCCTCCAATAACAGCAACCCTGGGCCGAAGTGTCTGGTGAAAGCCTCTTGCAGCCTCCAGAAGATTGTCTATGATGGGCCAGATGTTTGCCGTCCCGCTGAAAAGATCCGGCTGGTAAGTGACATGCCCAGCATCCCTGGGGAGGAGGGCACATGCTGGCCATAAACTCACTTGGGCTAGAGCTTTCCCCACCCTGTGCCTCAGTTTCCCCAAGTACAACTGCAGGGGATTGGCTACAGGGGGGCTCCGAATGTGCAGGGGGACATAAATGTCACTGCAATGCTGAAACGGGAATTGAAGGCCCTTTTAACCCAATTTGGCCCTACCCAAGGGCCTGGGGAGGGAGAAGGTGGTCCCCTTGGGCTCTCTGGGTTGAGGCCCACCCAAGCCCAGAAGAGACAAATGATGTTCAGAATAATGCCAGCTCCAGGCTAACAGAGCTCCCTGGGGAAAGAGCCAGGACTGGGGGCAGCCCCAGTGGCCCACTGCTTCAGTCATGGGCTCCGTGCTGCCTGGGGGTGGCAGCAGACACTGACCACACGCTCCCTCCAGGTGCAGGACATGGTGCACGGTGTGACCACCGACGAGTGCCAGGCAGCCCTGCAGAACCACAGCTGGAATGTCCAACGGGCCATCCAGTACCTGAAGGTATGGCACACCTCTGTTCCCTCACCCTAGCTCCCACAAGAATGGTGGCACTCCTGTCACCCCCCTGGCCATGCCCTGTCCCCTTGCAGGTGGAGCAGCTCTTCTGCCTGGGGCTGAAGTCCCGCGGCGACTGCCAGCGGGTGCTGGAGATGTTCGACTGGAACCTGGAGCAGGCCAGCTCCCACCTCCTTGATCCCTACAGCACCGCCCGCCAGAAGTAAGGTCATGGATGTGTTTTGGGGGGGTAGTTCTCCATGCCACACTGCTCTGGGCAAGCTGCCACTATTACCCCTCCTGAGCTCATGTTCTCTCCTCTCCTTACAGGTGGTGACAGCGGGGATGGGGTGAGTGGTGTCAGATCCAGAGAAGGCACCTCACCACGGGGCCAGTGCCCCCGCCTCCACCCACTCAACCTGCTGCTGGACTCTGGACTGAGCCCCCGCTTTGGGGGTGGGGACACCCCAAAAGGGACCCTGCCCCAGACTTGCTGGGGTGCTTATGCCCTGGTTTGGGCAAATGGGCTCTGTCCCCTGGCCTCTTGTTGACTTGTTTTTGTAAAGAGAAATGTAATTTTAATATATATTATGTATATATATAAAAGTATTCTATGGAGAGGAGAAGGGTGCCTGCAACCGTCTCCCAGGTTCATCCCTGCCAACACACGGGGACAGGCCATGTCTCCATGGGTTCTGGTTCCTCCCTGCAGGCAGCTGGGACTGTGATCCTTGGGATCTGCCATGTGATGGAGCTCGGGAGGGGATGCACTGACACTGGGGATCCCCAGGGAGCTGTGTGACGTGCACCTATAAATCCCAGCACCAATGCCTCCCAGGCTGTTTTAGGGTGCAAGGTTCTCCCCATCTGGGGCTGCTGGAGTTAGTCAGTTTGTCCCACCCCCAGGCCCAACACCTGAAGCCTGGGCGCTGTTTTGCTCACTCTGAGTGGGCAGTGCTTGCCTGAAGCGCTGCCCCAGTACAGGGCAGCCCCCTGCAGCAGGGCCCCCCTTGCCTGGTGCCCCGCGGCTCCCGGCTGCCGCCTGACTCATGCCCGGGCAGGGAGTGGCGGGACCGGCGTCGCGCCCCCACCCACGCGAGGAGTGTTGTGCAACCAGGTGCCACCACTGCAGCCAGAGCCAGGAGCTGGTGGGGGAGGGAGGGTGGCTCCCATGGGGTCTCACCTCAGGTGCCAGTTCTTGCCCCGCCTCCAAATGGGTATCAGAGCTCCTTTACTGGTTTCCCCTTGCAGCAGCATCGGGAAGGGATCTGGGGATCAGGTGGAGGAGGATCTTGGTGCCCAAACCCACCAGGTCCATGGGCAGTGGTGGTACCTGCTCCCCAGAGTGCCCTCTCTCTAGAGGAGAGACCCTGCTATATACCATGAGGAAGGGCTGCTTTGGCATGGCTGTGGATCCCTCCCTGTGGTGGATGCTACCTGGCCACATCTCCTGTGTGTCCTGTGCACCCACAGCTCCCTCATCTCTGATCCCTTGGCCCTCCTTGAGTGCAGGGACAGGCAGGTGTGCTGGGCACAGGCGGGTGTGCTGGTGCTGCTGTGGACGCGGTCACGCGTCAGTGCTTTGGACTCTGAGCTTCTGTTTCCCCATGAGGTGCAGCCACCATGGCGTGGCAGCCGGCTGGCATGGCTGTCAGCGAAGCAAGGAAGGCACAACACCATCACTGATCTGTTTCTGCCCCCTTAAGTGATCCTGGAACTGGGTGAGATCCTGTGAAGGGGTGAACACATTTGCTGCAGTGGCCTCACTGAGTCCATTTGCACAGCTGGGTCCGTCTGGCTTCTGTCCCCAGTGGAAGGTGACCTGCAACCCAGGGCAATGCCTGGCCCTGCCACCCATGCGGGAACCCCCCCCCATCCGGGCTGCGTGGGCGTTTTCCTCGATGGCACAGATAACACCTGCCCGCAGGCCCCAGGCGCAGTGCCGAGGGGGGGACAGGGTCAATACGCAGGACCCCAAGGCGCCAGTAGGAGCCTGCTCCTTCCTTCTTCCTCCTTGGTGGCGAGCCAACCCCTGCCAGGGGTTATCAGCCACGCAGCTGAGCGTGGAGGGACCTGGCAGCAAACAGGAGGGTGGATGGGGGTACAGAGCCCAGGATTGACCCACCCCACAGAAGTGTTGGGGACCCCGTCCCCACTTGCCATCCCAGGGCCTTTGGGCCAAGTGACTTGGAAACCCACTGTCTGTTCCCCAGGAACTGGGGACCCCAACCGTGGGCTGTCAACAGTGGGGTCAGCCTGGGAAGGGCCTTAAAACATCCCATGGCAAAATGGGTGTCCCCCAGCATCAGTGGGTCCCCAGAATTGGGACGCTGCCACCTCATCACAGGCTGTGAGGACACACAGACGTCAGTGCCACAGGCAGGGCACGTGGTGTCCCCGTCCCCCCCCACCCGGGGGAGTGCTCACCGGTCGAGTCACCTGTTGCGTCCCTCCCTTGAAACAGGGAGAGCTGCAGCCCTGTCCCTGACGCCGAGGAAGCACCATGGGGTCCCGGGGTCCGTGGCTGCTCTGGAGCTGGGTGCTGTGGGGGCTCTGGGTGCTGCCAGGTAAGTGCCAGCAAGCTGAACATGTGGCTGATACCATCTGGGTGATGGGCTGCGAACAACCCTCCGGCTTGTTCCCAATACCCCAAGTTCGAGCCTGTGCGCCTGGGCTGGGGTTTGCCCAGTCTCTGTCTGCGGGTGCCACAGCCTCGGCGTGGTCCCCAACTGCAGCAGAGGAAGGTGGGGGGGCAACTGAGGATCAAAGGGGGACTCTCGCCCTTGGGGAAGGAGTCTGACTGCTCTCGGTGTTGTTTGGGCTATGGGTGCTCCCCCCGCAGCAGGGAGGAGGGATGGAGGTGATGGGGACCCCTGGCTGCTTTTTCCTCATCCTGATCTCACCCACCTTTGCACAAGCCGGGGAGATGAAGGAGCAGCCCCTTGTCCCCACGCTAGTCCCGACAGAGTCGGGCAGCATCTCCCATGCAGCCGACAGTACCAGCGCTGAACTGCCTTCGGACCTGGGCATGTGCCAGGCGTTCCCCACTGCCGTGGCCGTGCAGCACCCCTCTCCCGCCGGTCGGACCATCGCCTCCGCAGGCAGCCAGGGCTCAGGTAAGGCCGGCAGGCAGCTGGCCGCGGGCAGGTTTCTGCCTGCTGGGGCCGCGGTGGGGTTGATCCAGCTGGGGCTGCCTTGTCTCGCTTCACAGGCATCCTGGTGCCACAGGTGACAACAAGAGGGCTGGTCCCAGCTGGGAGCAGTGGTGAGCAGGAAGGGCCTCCCAGCCCAGCAGCTCTCCCCGGGGGTTCAGCAGTGCGAGACAGCCTCCAGGCAGGGCCAGGGTCTGGGGTCTCTTCTCCAGGTGCTGCCAGCCACCCAAGCAGCGCCCCTCCAGCTCCCACCACCACTTGGCACAAGCAGCCTCTGTCCTTCGTGCCGATGGGGCACACGGTGGGTCTTGCCATGGGTGCTGTCCCTGCTGAGAGGATGCCAGGGACTGCACAGACTACAGTGCCATTTGTCCCCGAGGACGAGCACAGCACAGGGACATCGTACCCCAGCATCAGCAAGAGTTCTGCTGAGCCACACAGCACTACCTCGCTCCTCTCCCAGGAGGCCATGCTGGGGCTGGACGAGGCCACCTCACCTTCAGACACAGCAGCCAGCATCTCTCAGGACAAGGGCAGCCCCATGAAGACAGCAGCAGCCTCAGCCAACCCTGCCACTGGCCTCCCCTGGGTGCCCCCCAGCAAAGCCACAGAAGGAGCCAGGATGGCATCCCCACCATCTGCAGACCCCCCAAGTGCATCCTTGGCAAAGGTCACCTTTTCTTCTGCCGCCATTGGCATTGGCAAGGCTGCAGAGCCAGGGACACGTGCCTTGTCTGACACTGTCCACAGTGCCTCACAGGACCCCAGTGTGCCGCCTCCTGCTCAGGTGCCTCCAGCCCTTTTGCTCCAACCCCCTGGCGATGCTGTGCCAGGCACAGGAGAGATGCTTCCCCCCAGCCACAGTGCTGCTCCAGAAACTGCTGGAGATGGGCTGCCTGGAGCCAATGCTGTCACCCACCTCCAGACCACTGCACTAGCTCCAGGCACACTGGCTGTGGTAGTGGATGTCATAGCTGAAGAGCATATCCCCACTGTATCATTCCCGGCTCTCAGAAGTACCAGTGCTGAGCTGGTGTCCATCAGGAATGAGGACAGCACCAAAGCCACAGCAGGCACTGCGTTCCCAGAGACCAAGGCCACCCCAGGGGGGCTCAAAATGAGCCTGTCCCCCCATGCAGTTCTAGATGACCCTGGTGATCCCTCTCCAAGGCCCTTTCTGCACTCCACAGGCTCTCTGTTCCCCCAGACCCCCTCAGCAGGCGGAACCCCTCCAACCAGATCCAGCATGGCTGTGCCTTTGTCCCTCACGGGTGACAGTGGAGAAAAACCAGAGAGGGTCCCTCGAGCTGCACCAACATCTTCCGTTGCTGCATATGGCATTGGGACAGTGCCAGCTGCCCATCCATCCTCCCTTGTTAGCAACACTCCAATTCATGAAGCAGGGATGGGAACAGCATCGTTGGCCAGTGGCAGTGCCACCACTAAGCTGGGGGACAGCAGAGCCATCCTGCCTGTGCCTGATGCATCCCCCAGCCACAGCCAGCCTGGTCCCATGGGAGGCTCAGAAGCCCCAGGAATTGTTGTCACACCTGGACCTGCACCAGCCCCACCGCTCTCAGCTGGGATACAACGTGGGGAACCTCCAGGGACAGAGACGTGGTCACCAAGCACTGCACCGGGCACCGGCACAGCTGTACCAGGTACCCCAGGGGTACTCAAAGCAGTCACCATCCCCATGGCATCGCAAGCAGATGTCCCCCGTGTAATGGGAGGCAGAGGCAATGTAGGAATGACTCTGGGGGTGCCCCCATCTGGCATCCCCCAAGAGATGGCAGCAGTCACATCCCCATTGTCCCTGGATACCACACCACCAGCAATGGGAGCTTCAGGTGACCCCCACCTCAATGGCAGCACCACAGGGCAAGCAATGGGGATGAGGTTCCTGGAGGTGGGCACAGAGGAGAACCCAGATGCCAGTGCAGCAGGGCCGACTGCCAGACACGTGACCATCACTGCCAGGCCATCACCAGAGCCACCCGCCCAAGGGAATGATGCTTCTGAAACAAGGCCCCTGGTGGATCTGACTCTTACAACTCCAAAGGGCAGTCGCTCAGCCCCACTGACTGTGACTGACCCCAGCCCACCACTGACCAAGGCCAGACCCCTCGTCAGCACAGCCACCATCAAGTCACCCCAGCCTGTGGCACTGCCAACCCCCAAAAATGCAGCTGCAGAGGGAGGCCAGGGCATGTCCCAGTTGGCAGGAGATGGCAGCACCACACAGGCAGCTCTGGGCTCAACCCTGGTTGAGAACACAAGGGTGGGTGCCACAACAAGTACCCATCACAGCAGTGACATTCCTTTGGGGACAGGCCCACCGGCATCACCCCATGACACAGCCAGCATCAATACCCAGCCAAGTGCTGCATCGTTCCACAGCTACCGCACTGCTGAGCCCACCTCAGACATGGGCATGAACTTGGACATGCACACAGCTTCTCCAGCGATGA